CTACACCCTCTTTCTCTAAGAGCATAATGCACTAAATAATGCAACATAAGGTCCGTGTCAGTATGCTGCCATAAACCTGACAGGTAGATCGTGTGGTCGCAACAGGCTCTTACTTCCTTACCTGCTGTGAAATTATTGCCTAATAATAATTGAAGGCCACGAATCATGAAACAAAACTGGTTCGCTATGTGAAAATTTCTGGGCTTGTAATTTTGTGCGTGGTCCGATGACATCTACTTAGTTCACAAAGTTGCTTTACGAATAGAAGCGAATATGCGTGCCCCAGGTTCTTGTTGTAAAAAAGAGGAAGACGCGATCTCTGGAATGATAGTGGGAGACACGATAAAATAGCGTAAGAATGGATGTGGCGTGGACAGGGACCAATCAATAATTGCCACCCCTCCCCCCTACCAACCCCATTTATGCGTAGCTGACGCTTGCTGTTTTCTCATTTACTCTGACGATGGCTTCTCGTGTGGAGCCGAAAGCTCAGAATAAGACTATCGTTCCAGAAATCGCGTCTTCCTCTTCTTTTTACAAAGTTTGCTTTACTTATATTAGTCCTGTCCCCGCTATTCGTATAATTCTATTCTGCCTTTCCCTGTTAGCTTACATTCACATCACATGGACCGCGATGATCCAGTTCACCATTGCTGTCAGCATGCTCTGGACGCAGTTGGGTGTCTCAATGCTGGCAGGTCTGGGCGTCATGATACTATTCTTTCCACTCAATGGCATTGTCATGTGGCTTACGCAGAAGTTTGAGGTAGGACTGTTGTTTTCTCCCAGTAGAGCATTCCTAAAAAGTGGTTTCACAGCACGAAAATTTGCCAAAATACTGCGTTTAGCTGTCGTAGTACTGTAGGCAAATCAATTTTGTGTTTTGTTTAGCAACCATCCTTCAGTGAGACTTTTTACCTGGCTTTTGAGTTATATCACAACAGGCGTTGTTTGTCTTGCGGGTACCACGTGGAGTTGTTTTGTAGTTGGCTGTGGCCACAGAGCCTGCTTAGAATCTGATTGGTCCATGCCTGCAGGGAGCTCTTCGAGCGAATTGGATAGCATATATCCAATCAGAACGGGATACTATAAATGCAGTATTACAAAGTAGGATTGATCTAATTAAGTGGTTCCTTTTCAATAAAAGGATTTATCGTTTAACAATTACCGAAGCGTGACTTCTAAGGTAACCTTATCATCGTTCCGGGCTAACTGAAGCTTTTGTTGCCGGAAATTCGAAAATTGTGGCAAACCATTTAACTTATGAAGCCTCTTACTTCTGTAAGAGCACTTGAGGTCTCTTCTACAGCGTCATATAGGTTTTGATCGGGCCAGTTTGGTCTTATACTATTGTAGAGCTATGTGGTATGAGGATAGGTCGGAAAATTATAAAAATTCATAACACTGCAAGGGCATGCTTATGCCAGCATGCATAACTGAGCTCCAAGTTTCGGCGATTTTGCGTTTATGCTATTTGCCATTCTTTCGCAGGGGGGTTTTAAACTAACCAAAGGCATTCGGGTTCTCTGCACTTTCATGCTTAAGTACTCACCTCGAATTTAGCAAGATATCCCCTTTATTGCAGCGTTCGTATTTTCGTGTCTAACTATCTAGTCATTCCGGGTATTCGATGGCATCATTTTTTGTTGAGTACTGCTTAGACGCTTCAAATGCCTATCTTTCAGCTCGATGAGATGAATAATTCTGCCTTAACTATTTTCTTTTAGGCAAGGGAGATGGTCTGGAAAGATGAACGCATGAAGTGTCTCACGGAGACGTTGTCTGGCATTAAGGTACATATTCCTCAGTTTTCCTCAGTTTCTTGTTGGCTGTTCTTTCTCAATACCTTCTGCATTAGACATATCTTGGCATTTTTTTCATAGCTTGGGTAATTACAAGGCTCGCTGATTATTCTATCGAAATCTTGAGAAACAGTGTCTTTTAGTTAGCTTGGCTGCATACCACGCGGCATATGCGAAAATGGCGGATCAGTGAGGGTTATGTACGGAATAAATGGGTGCTTATGTATAACTGCTAAACAGATTCGGACCATTCACTGGCGATTAAATCCAATTATGGCTGAGCAATTCCCAAGCAAATCCATTACTTAGATCAAGGTTGCAAGTTACAGCGGTAGTACGGCATGACAAGTGTTGACCAGCATTGAACAAGGCTTTTCCCCCTCGATTGTCACCCTATGGATTAGGTCGCTACGTTCCGCAAACCTTACTTGCATAATGCGTCTCACACTTCCAAGGTCATTCACGATTTCTGCCGTAGTGTCTGGAGCCGGCTATGCTGGTCC